TTTTTCCGATTGGAATGTGAAGAAAGGATGCTTTTGTTCTACAGTATGTACTTAAGAGACCTTTGGATGCAGGAAGCTTTATGCTGGTAGTTTTGGGCTGGTTTCTGTTCACTTTTGATGAGGGTGAACGACCAGCAAATGCTTATAAAAATGTGAAGGGTTTGTTGCTCATTTATCATACCCTGCTGTCCAAAATATCCAAGAGTATTTACAGAAGCAAGGAAAAAGGTAAATGTTTTTTTTTTTAGCTAAAAAGACCTTTCTTGAGAAGAAAAAGTCCTTCTGGGGTGCTCTGGAAAGCCTTGAAAAGACCACGCCAGAGGCAGAGGAAATCACCGACAGTGTACGCAACTTGCCAGGCATCAAGTGAGTACTCAACTTTCTTTTCTCATTGAAACCTTGGCACTAGACTGGATTTGAATTGCTTTCCCCCAACAGTGCAAGATGCCTGGCCTGCACAGCAACGAAAGTCTATCGACAATAGAGGGCTCACTCATGCAGCTAAACCAAATCCAGTCTTGGTGAATCCAGCAGGCCCACCTGAGAAATTCTGGGCATACCTCATGCATATGAACCAGGCTGATGGAAAATGGATCATTATATTTTGTCCGCTCTCGTTTTAATATTAGCATTGTACAATGCATACGCTACTTTTCAATGCTGAAGCAGATTCGGGTGAGATAAAAGCACAGTCCTGACATGTATATTTTTTTTAACTGTAGAACCAGTCTGGGGCGAGGCAGAGCTTGGTTGAGGTTAGCTCTGATGCAGAAGAACTTAGCGGACTACTTTAAAGCTCTCCTAGAAAGAAAAGATGTATTGAGGTAGGCTGTCTACACATTTGTTTTCAAAATGCGTATTTACTTGCACCTGTAGAGTGTTAGGCGGTAGACCAGTAGCCTCTATTACCAGTAAGACAGCAACCTCTCCAGGGACAGAAACCTTATGGATACTTGGAACAGGATCTGTTTGATTGTTTTGTAAATACCCTTGAAACGGCTTTCCAATGCAACAAGAAGACAGAAAGGTCTGTCTTGGAAAACATTTTTTTGGCCTTGCGCATTTTGTGGGCAGTGAGCCCTGGGGACAAATCAATTTTCCCGAAATTGCGACTCTTCCGATGATTGTTACTGTCTATTCCCCTATTTCAGTGAATGGTACGAGCCCGGCGCCTTGCTACTGGAGGAAGAAGCACCTGTCATAGCGGGCCTGTTGGTGGGCCTGAACGTCATCGACTGCAACTTGTGCTTGAAGGGGGACGATTTAGACTCGGCCCCCTCCGTCATTGACTTCAGCATGTACCTGAAGGACGGCAACTATCTGGAAAAGCCGCAGGAAAGCTCTAGGTAAGCATGATGGCTGGACTAGGGAAATATCGGAAATAATTTCATGGTGTCGCCTAACGACTAGCAGATAACATGTGCAGACTTTAAGTGCACTGTGCCATGAAGATGAAAAGACCATTGTGATTGCTGATTGGGAACTTGTTTTTTTCCTCAGTGGGGAAGCACCTGAGGTCAACTTGACAGCCCTGCTGGATCAGAAGAACTACTTGGAGGAGCATAACCGACACCTTGCCTCCCAGGTTAACGTCCTTCAAGGAAAGATCAAAAGCCTTGAACAGGCCAGCAATCTGGCTAAGGAGGAGGTATTACCAGTGTAAAGTACTTCATTAGGACTTGACATTAGGTATTATAAGGAGAAGGTATTACCAGTGTAAAGTACTTCATTAGAACTTGACATTAGGTATTATAAGGAGAAGGTATTACCAGTGTAAAGTACTTCATTAGGACTTGACATTAGGTATTATAAGGAGAAGGTATTACCAGTGTAAAGTACTTCATTAGGACTTCACATCAGGTATTACAAGGAGGAGGTATTACCAGTGTAAAGTACTTCATTAGGACTTCACATTAGGTATTACAAGGAGGAGGTATTACCAGTGTAAAGTACTTCATTAACGAGACTTCACATTAGGTATTATTTGTATTATTACAAGTACTGTGGCTACTAACATTGACAGAGGAATATCTTGAAGTCTTACGATTGTGTCAGCATTGATTGAGATAGGAAGCTGTGAACAATGCAGTTGGTTTCTTTCACAATATTTTATGAAAGAGTGTAACTGTTAGCAGCACTCTTCAGTGGGACTGGTGTTGAAGCAAATTTTCAAGACAATATGGCACCCAGTTTTTGTGACTTTCCAACTTGCCACAAACAGCCGGCATATTTTGTCTTGCTACCCATCATCCCGTTTGCTGCTGTGAAATAAGAAACTGCCTACTCGGGAGGAACACGAGAAAATTATCCTTATAAATGTCTCCTTTTCAGCTGGCCGTGGCAAACAACAACATCTTGTCAATCCAAGCCGAAAACGACAGACTTAAAGCAGAAAACGACGCCATGAAGAATGAGGTTCAGCGGAAGTTACAGGTAATTTGATGAACAAGAGAGCAACCAAGCAGTATTGTAATTTGTAACCGTTGACAATATGCCATGTTATAATAGTCGTCACTTGATATGCTTTTCACTGTCTTAGATTAGTCCCATCTCATTGCACTGTTTAGATTTTGACGTACCTGCAGTATCATGCTTTTGAGATGGGGTACCAGTGCTCCTGTTTATCTTTTTGTAGATTGTGAGGGCTGACATGGACGTTGAAAGGGAAACCTACAACACCTCAAGGATCGGTCTGAATGAGTTGTACGGTGAGGCGCAGGACAAGCTACAACATGAGGCTCAAGTCAGACAGGTAAACCTGTCTGTAAACTCACGACATTCGTGGTCAGCGGGCCGGCTTCTAAAGAGAGTAGACCCTTTCAGTGTTGCGTGTGTCCCAGAGTTGTTCTTTATTTCATTTTTGTCACAGTGGATGCACAAAAGGTTTGCTCAAGCCCATCCTAGTGATAAAAACCCTTGCCCTCAAACCCTTGCTTTTACACTTAAGGCCTATTCAGCGCATTCAGACTTCCTTCATGACCACAAACCAAGAGAAATAAAGACAAGTAAAGCAATCCCCTTCAGTCTGTCGTCATTGCGCGGAACATCTGCATAAGATGTACAGCTTGAATGTGCATACGGTAAATTAACATGTACATGTAAGGTCATAAAAATGCATGCTTTGTAGGGAGGGTTTCATAATTCTGAACGGTTGGAACATTCCCTTCGGAAGGCTTCTCACTGCAACTCAGGTGGCTGTTTCACACTGACCACAGTATTTCCATTAGATTGCTACCTCAGAATGGTCTATGCATGAAGCAGACTGGTCCCGCAATGAGTAGATGTGCCGATGGAATGCTCGTGCTCCTGTGGAAGCAATCCAGTAGTACATGAATTTTCTAGACTTTTTCGATGCTCCCTTATTTTGAACTAATGATGATATGAAGCAACAGCTGAAGAACCAATGTGTTTGAAAGCCATGCTTGATGAATTTTGTCATGAATATGCATACTTTAACTTTCAACCAATCAGGATGGAGAGCAGGAGCTTGACTTGGCATGGGTTTTAAAGTCATGAGTCTGATCATGAATATGCATACCGTCACTTTGAACCAATCAGGATGTGGAGCAGGAACTAAAGTTGCAACTAAGCTTGAAGTCTGAGATGGAGATGGCCATGAGACTGCTGGAGAAGGACATCCACGAGAAACAAGACACGATCATCTCCTTACGGAAACAGCTGGAGGACATCAAGACCATCAATATAGACCTCTACAATAGACTACAGGTATCTACATCCTTCTCCACAGAGTGTTTACTTTGGCTTGCTGTCAAGAGACCCAACAAGTGCCTGTATTCTCCCTGTTCCCTGGTCTCTACAGTATTGTGGTGCAGGTTTCATCCATTAGGAAAACTTCGAGCAGAGTGTGTGGACTTTGATGTGTCCTCACACCATGTGGGACATATACCTGTGTACCTGCTCATTGAGGACATGGTCTGTCTTTTTTTCTGATCTGAATTCCATGTAGTCCTCGGACAGTTCTCTTCAGCACAAGGCGGATCTTGTCAACAAACTTGAGGAAAAGGCTGAACAAATGGGAGCCACCATCACTCAGATAGAGGAAAGGTCAGTGTAGCGCCCTCTTTTGCCACGTAGGTGGCAGATATTTTCTCACAGGTCGTGCATGCCATGAGTTTGGAGGTAGACTGGCACACATTCTATTTAAATTTCTTATACTTGGTGTATCTGGTAATAGATACGTGTTTCTCTAGGACTGAAAGTTCTGAAGTTAAAGAGAAATCACTCTTTTTATTTCTCGAATGAGATATTGCCTTGTCAGTCTCAGACATATAAGTTTTTTCAAAAGAGTAAAAAATTTGGCCTTGCCTGGCTAAAATTTAAGCAAAAGACAAAATTGGGAAAGGTAGGTGTGTGTTGTGCATGTGCTTTTCATGCATAGCACCTTTTGAAATATAAAACTCATCGAAGGTTGTCATACAAGTGTTATGTGCTGTGTCAGTAATCTGAGTTTTATCGTTTTGCATGGTTTTGTGGTAAATGTACTGATACGTATCAATAAGTGCTCATAATTTCTAGTGGTATCAATAATATCACATTTATGAAATTATGAAATATCCTGTGCTTTCTGTCATTCATCTTTCAATCTCAGAGTTTTCTTGGTGAACAATTTACAACATGGTCAAAATATCTCTTCATGCGCCTTGCACCGTTGCCTGCTGTAAAACAAACAAAACCCATTTTTTTCTTTTGAAGGACTCACCTTTTTGTTCTGGTTTTATTTTTTTCCCCTTCCTTCCATTCTTGCATCCTGTGGCCCCCCCTGTGATTGTTTGGCTGTTGGTGTCCGTGACTCACTCGCTCGCACGCTGGTGGCGCACTTTTTCTGTGACCCCCCTTCCGCATGACCCACACAACAGACTGAAGAAGGCCGAAAAAGAGAAAGAGGCCGCTGTTGAAACCTCCCGAAAGTTGGGACAGCAAATAGCGGAGAAGGACGCCAAGCGGTAAGCCCTCTGATACACTTTTGTGTGTGCCACCAGTAGTCAGTGTTGCATCATCTAACCCTCCCGAGTCGCTGTTTCATGTCTTTATAATCACAGTGAAGAAATGTGAAGTATTTTTGTTTTGTTTCATGCAGTCAAACACAGTGTTATGGTTGAGTTTCTGTGAAGTCTCCACAGGTAGTGATATCTACCGTGGAATAGTACAAATCTTGCCAAAGTACCAAGCCTGTGTATTGTTAGCTATCATGTTTTGACTTGCCTCATTTCCAATGGTGACTCCAAATGGTTCATTAGAATACATTAAGAGCATGCTGTGTCCAAATTACATGGCTGTGGCTGGAAATAGGTGTAAGTCTATGAAAAAGGAATGAAGCCGCTAGCTGACGGCTTCCATAGGTGCACGTGGTCTTTGCAGATGCAGCCAAGTGATGGAGACATGGCTTTAGCTTGGCCTTGTCTGAGGTGTCTGACTGGCAATCACTTAAGTGATAACCTTTCTTTAAGGCATATTCTTGGTTGATGTGAAGGATGTAGGTACAGCTAAGAAAGGGGGTGAGTATGTCACGCTTTTGGATTTGTTGTCGTCTTCAGTGCGGCCTTGGAGACGGATCTGAAGATTGAGCGGGAGTGGCGGGCCTCGCTGCAGAAGGAGCTGTCCAGGGAGAAGGAGCTTGTGGCCCAACTGCAGCGGGAGACACTGGATGCCAAGAAGCTGCAGGACGAGCTGGTGGAAGTGACCAGGCAACACCAAAAGTTGAGAGAGGAGTGCTCAGGCCAGGAGCAGGCGCTGATCGAGATGGGCGACAAGCTGAGCGAGTAAGTCTTGACGAGGGGATGTTTGGGTTGGAGTCTAGTTTTAAGGAAGGAAGGGGAGGGCTGACCAGGCAACACCAGAAGTTGAGAGAAGAAAGCACGGGTCTTGAGCAGTCGCAGATCAAGACGATGAAGGAGCCAAGCAAAAGTATGTAAGCAAGTCTTGGTGAGGTTGGGGGGACTGTGGTCGCTGTGTACGGGTCTGCCACTAGTCTGTTGAAGGGGTTGATGAAAGTAACCGGGCAGCTGTGTGTCACACATTCAGCACCTGTAATTCAAATTGTTCCGGAATCTTCCAAAGATTGGATGGAGACAAGCTGCTGGTCACATATGTTGTTCCATTTTTCAATCTGAACGATTCATCATTGCTCTCTTAACCAACCAGTGTTGAAAACATAGAATCTACTGCTTCTGCTTCTTATTTCTCCTTCTGAAGATCGAGGTTGAAAATGGAGAGCATGCAGGAAGCAGTACAGTCCCTGGATAAGAGGGTGTGGGCTGACGACAAGGAGATAACTAGCTGCATGCAGTGTGAAAAAGCCTTCTCTGTCTCAAGGAGAAAGGTAGGTTTAGTTTCAATAAAAGCAGCATTAAAGTGTCAGAATTGACTCCCCAGGCATTGAATGTTCTGCTTCAATTTTAGATACTCGCAGATTTTCTCACTAGCAAGGAAATAAATTGCGCGTCTTAAAATAAACTAGAAGTG